AGCAGTCCTGAAACCCCAGGTTTGCCAGCAGCCCTTGCTAAGTATGCAATCCTTGGGGTAAGCTGAGAAAAGTCGGCCAGAACCCAGCTAAGGCTTGTTTCATCCCAGCATCTTGTCACCAGCCGGAGAAACAGCCCAGGGTGGCATCTGATGTCATGGCCCAGGACTCAGACGGCCATCCGGGTTGGTCCTTGGCAGTCTTCCCAGCTGGAGCCTCACCACCAGGATGCAGAGCTGCAACTGGCTCCCCCACATCTTTACGCGTGTCCCTAGCCAGCAGAAGTGCCACCGAGCTGATAACCCCCTCACCCCTATCAGCCAGTTTAAGCTGCACCACCCTCAGGTCCGGTTATCTCCTGTTTTCTTCCTGAAGATGCAGCAGGCTCCAAAAAACCAAACTTCACTAGCAAACACTGCCGTACATGCCCTTGTAATTGCCCTCACTGTATCCTGGAGATTCCTTTGGGCACATTCTTGAGTGGGATCAGTCTTTGGGGCAGGGAGAGGAGGAATTGTGCAACAGTGTTTGCTGGTTATTTTATTCATTTACTTACTGGTGATGACGATGATGTCCATTTCAGCAAGGTGAGAAGAGAGAAAGGAATGTATTTATATACTTATTTGGCTTATGGGACACTTGTCTACTCTGGCAAGCCTCAAAGGCAGCGAACAAAATCTGAAAACAAAAGCAGAATAGGCAGTGCTTAAATAAATAAATAGCATGGTTGTCTGGCAGTTCAAAGCCTGAAAAAGAGATGCCTCTGCAGAGGCTTCCTGAACAGGAAGAGAACGAGGATCGTTTTTCAGCATTGAGATGTATCTGCCAGCAGGAGCATCTTCCAGAGGGCCTCCCCTGAAGATCTTCACCGGAGAGGTTTCTGATGGGGGAGATGGGCAGGCCTGAATCCCTTTCGCACTTTAAAAGACAACGTCAAGGCCTTCAACTGTGGCCAGCAACGGTTGGCATCCGAGTCAGATCTTTCAGTACAGAGATTGGTGATCCCTGTTCCTTTACCCCCCTTACCCATCCGTCTACCACACCACACACCAGCTGCAGCTTCCAGGCATTTTCCAAGGTAGGCCCAAAAGAGAGACAAGGTAGGATGATCAGCCCACAGGTCCTTTGCAGCGGGTGTGGCCTGTTAGCCAATGCTCAGGGTTTTGGTTTGAGAAGCTAGCTGCTTCTAGAAACCCTCAATCAAACTACCATCTCCTGGGACCCAGGAAGAATGCATTCTCTGTCGCATGCCTGCCATTTATTTATTTATCCAATTTAAATAGCTGCCCATCTCAGTGAGAGACTCTGGGTGGTGAACAGAATTAAAATAGAATAAAAACAGTAACAAACATTATAAAAGTTAAAACGCAGGCAGCTGAGAAACAGCAACCCAGATCACTAACACAACCAAGAAGCGGGTCCCTGCACGCACACGGGGGCCCAGGCCTGGGCACAGGGCCAGGTCTTTAGGGCCTCATGAAAGGCCAGCAGTGAGGCCATCCTGATTTCTGGTGGGAGACTTCCATAAGGTGGGTGCTATGGCAGAAAAGACAACGTCTTCTAGGCCCCACCAACCAGCTCTTGTAGGGCTGACAGTTAGGACTGTACAAGCTCTGGTTATGGCTAGATTAACTTTCCCAATTAGGGCATAAACAATGGACTGTACTATGCAGGAACTAGAGAAACGCCAATCAGAGTTAAATGGCCACCTAATAGGATGATGTTTCAGTGGTACAAGCCCTATGGTTGGCTCGAAAGCTTCCAGAGAGAGAGAGCTGGAGCAAGAATTGCAAACTTGACATGAATTGGGAGCACCTCTCCACAAGCACACCATGCAAACCGCTTCCTTTGCTCTCTGGATTTTGTCTTCAGCTTCTGAAATTGTCCCTCCTTCCCTTCCTTCCTTTTTTGCAGATGCCAAAAGTGCAGTACCGATCCAATGTCAAGCCCTCCACATTTGCCTACCCAGCCCCCTTGGAAGTGCCAAAAGAGAAGGAGAAAGAAAAGGTTTGTTGAGTCGGAAATTGCAATCATGTGACTGTGGCCCGTTGCAACATAATTGTGAGCCGGGCGCCAAAGGCCCGGATCGCAATCACATGACCGCGGGGACTCTGTAATGGCTGGAACTCGTAAGTACCGTTCATTCAGCACCCTTGTAACTCAACAATAGCTGAACAAATGGTCATAATCCGAGGACTACCTGTAGTGTATTTCTTTGCAAGTGCTTC